CTATATTCCTATGTTTTTATAAATTTTATATATAAAAAATATAAATATATATATATTTATATATATATAATATATAAAATATATTTAGATATTTTTGATATTTTTGAAATATTTTATAAAAATAAAATATATATAAAAATATTTTTATATTTTATATATTTTATCTATATTTCTTATAATTTCTATATATAAATATAAAATTTTAATATATAAATTTTTCAATTAACTATTATTTATTATTTTAGTACGTATGTCTGTTTTATTACATTTATTAATATTTATATTATTTATATTTATATTGTTTATATATTTATATATTTCATATATAAATATATTTTATATGTTATATATTTATATATTTTATTTTATATATTTATATATAAAATATATATTTTATCTATTTTATACATTTTATATACATTTTATATACATTTATATTTATATTATATGTATTTTACATATTTATGTATTTTTATATTTTTATATATTTTATATATTTATGTATTTTATGTTTTGATATATTTTACATATTTATATATATTTAATATATTTTATATATTTATGTATATATTTATATATAAAATATAAAATATATAATATAAAATAGATTTTATCTATTTAATATATTTATTTAATGTATTTATTTCATATATTTATATATTTATTATATTATATTAATTTAACTAATTATTTTTTACTACTAATAAAATAATCTGCTCTGGGCACCCTGCTCTGGGCACCCTGTGCCAGGGCCTGCCCACCCTCCTAGGGAACAATTCCTTCCCAAGATCCCACCAATCCCTGCCCTTGGCACTGGGAATCCATTAATTTCCAGTTTAATGCCCTGTATGGCTCTGCCAAGCTCAGTATATCAGAGAAAAAATATAATATAATATAATATAATATAATATAATATAATATAATATAATATAATATCATATCATATCATATCATATCATATCATATCATATCATATCATATCATATCATATCATATCATGTCATATAATACTATATAATGCTATATAATATTATATTATATAATATATTATATAATACAATATGATACAATACGATATAATATAATATAATGTAATATAATGTAATATAATGCAATGTAATGTAATATAATGCAATGTAATGTAATATAATGCAATGTAATGTAATATAATGTAATATAATGCAATGTAATGTAATATAATATAATATAATATAATATAATATAATATAATATAATATAATATAATATAATATATATAATATAATATAATATAATATAATATAATATAATATAATATAATATCATATAATATAATATAATATATAATAATTATATATTATATAAATATTATTATTATATTATATATTATATAATACAATACGATACAATACGATATAGTATAATATAATGTAATATAATGTAATATAATGCAATGTAATGTAATATAATGCAATGTAATGTAATATAATGTAATATAATGCAATGTAATGTAATATAATATAATATAATATAATATAATATAATATATATAATATAATATAATATAATATAATATATAATAATTATATATTATATAAATATTATTATTATATTATATAATTATAATTTATATAATAATTTGTAATTTATATTATAGATTATATTATATTATATTATATTATATTATCCAAATAATATCAATAATGCCAAGATTTGTCTCAGGTTAGAGCAGCTGCTGCAGTATTTGTGCAGATGTTGGCAGGGGCAGCTCTGCAGGTGTAACTTCTCCTCCCAGAGCAGATCCGAGACAACGTCTGCTACGGGATCCGCGTGTCCGCGCTCTACCAGGGCAGGGCTGGCCAGGCAGCCTCCGTCAGGGCCAACTCCACAGCACAAGGTCAGCCCCAGAACACCCTCCCAGCCAGTTTTAAGCTCAGTTTAAGCTCAGCTCTAACAGCAATCCCGTGCCTTGCAGCCCCATCAGCCGGGCCCCAGATGTTCGCAACGCCCTGGGCCAGCGGTGTCCTGGTGTCCTGGGAGGAGATCCCAGCTCCCCAGCAGAGGGGCTGCATCACTGCCTATCACATCTACCTGCACAGGAGCTCCAGGCAGGGCCAGCCCGAGGTCCATGGTGGGTTCCTGGGGCTGGAAATGCTCCTCCTGCTCCCCTTTCATTACTGAAGGTCTCCAGGAATTCATCCTGGCTTCTTCTCCCTCTTTTCTTCTTCTTTCTCTTTCTTCTTGCTCTTCCTCATCTTCTCTTCTTCCTCCTCTTTTCTTCTTCTTCGTCTTCGTCCTCTTTGTCTTCTTCATCTTCTTCTTCCTCCTCCTCATCCTCTTTTCCTCTTCTTTTTCTTCTTGCTCTTCCTCATCTTATTTTCTTCCTCCTTTTCTTTTTCTTCTTTTTCTTCTTGATCTTTCTTCTTGCTCTTCCTCATCTTCTCTTCCTCCTCCTTTTTTTCTTTTCTTCTTCTTCCTATTCTTCATCTTATTCATCTTTCTCCTCCTCCTTTTTTTCTATCTTCCTTTTCCTTATTCCTCTTCCTCCTCTTCTTTTTCCTCCACTTTTTTCCTCTTATTCTTCATCCTCCTCTTCTTCTTCCTCCACTTTTTTCCTCTTCTTCCTTTTTTTTCTCCTTATTCCTCCTCCTCCCCTCCTTCCCATTATCCAGAGCCCAGCTGAAGGCAGCAAAGCCCCGTGCCAGGCTCTCCATCTCCATCCTGGTTTTCCTCCAGCCGTTCCCTTTGGGAAGGTTCCTCGTTCCCTGCACATCGCGGCGCTGCAGCCCGGGGAGCACCACGAGCTCTGGATGACAGCGGCGACAGCGGCCGGGGAGGGCCCCCGGGGCAACAGCGACAGCGTCTGCCTGGAGGGTAAGGAACCCGTGCCAGGCTGCTCCTTGCCCTTGGATCCTCCTTTCCACACTCTGGGAATGCTTTTCCTGCTCCTCTGAAATCCCTGGAGCTCCCCAAGCCTTCTGATCTCTCGGTTCCTGAAGATTTGCTGTTTCAGCTTCAGCTTTGAGCTCCCAGAGATGTCTCCTTGGAGTTGAAGGGTGGTTTATTCATGGAGCACACAAAGATTTGGGGTTTATTTCATCTTTTTGGTGCCTGCTCTCCATTTCAGGTGCTGGGGACTGGCTGACTCTGGTGCTCATCTGCAGCTTCCTCATCCTCTCAGCCTGCGTTTGTTCTGTGCCTCCAGCCAGGAAAGTGTGAGTGGATCCATCGGCTGTGTCCCAATAAAACCGGGCTGCTTGTTGGGAGGGATTAAATCCCAGAATGGTTTGGGTTGAAAGAGATCTTAAATCCCACCCAGAGCCACTCCTGCCATGGCAGGGACACCTCCCACTGCCCCAGGCTGCTCCCAGTGAGCCCAGACTGGCCCTGGGCACTGCCAGGGAGGGATCCAGGGGCAGCCCCAGCTGCTCTGGGCACCCTGGGCATTTTAAAAACCTTTTCTCCCTTCTAATCTAAATCAACCCTCTTTTACTTTAAAGCCATTTTCCTTTGTCCTATGGGATGGTTGTGCCCCTTCATGAGCGTGGAACAGTGAGGATTGTCCAAAATGAAGCTTCCAGAGTACATGAATGATAATAAAATCAGGCTCTGACCTTAAAATACACCTGCAGTCTATGGATATTGTGAATTTTTAACCAGGTCTCAAAACCAAGCAGAAGGGTGGCAATCCTTGGGAATTAACCCTACCCAGCCAAGAGCTCTTGCAGGTCCCTCTGAGGGCAGATCCACGATCACACCTGCCTTAATTCCACACCCAAGGAGCACAAAGGTGCTGCAGGTCTCACCATTGAGGTTTTTAATTGCATTTATCCCCTGCTGCAGGTTCCAGTGGCTCCTGTCGCTCCTCCTGCCACAGTGGCACAGCAAAGCCATTCCCGACCCTGCCAACGCCACGTGGGCCAGGAGCTTAACGGCTACCAAGGTAAATTAGAGGGTTTTTTTCATTCTAATCCCAAAACCTTCATAAAAAACAACCAAAAAAATAAAGCAATTGGAGCCACGGCAGGCAGTAATCTCCTAAAGCAGCAAATCCAGCAATCTCTGGCAGCAGATAATCTCCACTGGAGGAGACTGAAGGATGTGCTGGGCAAATTAAACACCGCAAGAACTCAGAGATCTTTTGTTTTCATCCGGATGAGGAGCTGTGCAGTCCCGGGAGCTCCGTGCCCGGATTTATCCCGTGTTTCCCCCGCAGGCAGAGCTGAGCGCTCCCTCCAGCCCCTTCCTGCCCAGCGGCTTCCAAGAGCCCGAAACGACCCCGGTGGAGGAGAGCTGGGCTGAGCCCCCCGAGCCTGGGGACAAGCTGCTGCTGGGCAGCGCTGGCAGCAGGGGACACTGGCCACAGCTCTACCAGAGGCTGCTGCTGGAGCCCGAGTACATCTCCAGCCCCGGCCCCTCCGCACGGAGCCCCGAGCCCGAGCCCGAGCCCATTCCCCTCTTCCCATTCCTGCCCCCCGGGCCCTGCTGCCAAGGGAACCTGAGCCTGGATGGAGTGAAACTCAGCGGCAGCTCCTTCCCGAGGTAGGCAGGTGGCGATGTGAGCCCGCCAGGAATTTGGGCACGATGGGTGACTCTGGTGCTCGTCTGCAGCTTCCTCATCCTCTCAGCCAGGAAAGTGTGAGTGGATCCATCGGCTGAGTCCCGATAAAACCGGGCTGTTTGTTGGGAGGGATTAAACCCCAGAATGGTTTGGGTTGAAAGAGATCTTAAATCCCACCCAGAGCCACTCCTGCCATGGCAGGGACACCTCCCACTGCCCCAGGCTGCTCCCAGTGAGCCCAGCCTGGATTTTGGCACTTTGCAGAGTATTTTGGTGTTTCAATGTGATCTCAGCCTGGATTTTGGCACTTTGCAGAGTATTTTGGTGTTTCAGCATGAGCTCAGCCTCGATTTTGGTACTTTACAGAATATTCCAGTGTGTTTTGATATGAGCCCAGCCAGGATTTTGGTACTTTGCAGAATATTTCAGTTTTGATATGAGCCAGGATTTTGGCACTTTACAAAATATTTCAGCGTTTCAGCACAGCCAGTCCAGTCTCATGTGACACCTCCAAGTGACAAAACCCTTCCCCAGTCACACCTCACCACAGCTGCTCCTCTGCAGCCTGGAGTCAGAGCTACAGCTGGGGATGCCAGAGATGGATTTGGGGAGCCCTTGCTGCAGCCTGGGCTGCCTCAAGCCCTGTCCCACCAGTGCTTCAGCCTGGCTGGATCAGAGCTGGAAATCATCATTTCCTCCTGAAAGAGCAAGGAACAGCAAAAGGGAGGGATGGAAAGGCAAAAGGGAGGGATGGAAAGGCAAAAGGGAGGGATGGAAAGGCAAAAGGGAGGGATGGAAAGGCAAAAGGGAGGGATGGAACTGCAAAAGGGAGGGATGGAACTGCAAAAGGGAGGGATGGAAAGGCAAAAGGGAGGGATGGAAAGGCAAAAGGGAGGGATGGAACTGCTCAGCACCTCTTGTTCCTCCCCTGGCACCAAGTCACAGAGCCCCCAGTGACACCAGACCCACGAGGGACACGGCACCTTCCTTGCCTCAGTTCAGGGCAGGAAAATTCCTGACCAGAACTAAAAGCAGCAGGCAGCATCTGTACTCAGCCAAATGGATTGTCAAGAGGAATTTAAGTGATTTATTGGAGTGCTCTAATTACAGGCTGGAAGGGTGTTACACATTTAATGACTTTGTTTACCAGATGTGTGTATATAAATAAAATGTTGGAAATCTGAACTTGGCTTCCTGTTGTTTTCTCTGGTCAAGCTCCAGCTTTACACAGAACAATTAAAAATTAAAAATAAAGCTGAAATGTTGCAGTTAGAGATGGAATAGTCCAGGTATGAACTTACCTGGAGCATCCTCTGCCTCCCCAGGATGCTGATGCCACCACTCAAGTGCAGATTTGGGTATTGCCAAACACCAGCTCAGCCTTTTCACTTTGGGCTCCTGAGGTCTGGTCCCACCTGTGTCACCTGGCTGCGTGTCACCAAAGGAAAACATCTCCTCAGAACTGGGTCACACATCCAAAAAACCAGAACCTGCTGCCTGCTCTCCACACCCTGCCTGGGAACCACCCTGGCCAGAGGATTCTGCCTGAGCCCCACAGCTCAGCTCTGCAAATCAAACTGAACTAGAAAGGCAGATTAGATGCCAAAAAAGGGGTTTATTTATAAAGCATTATTTTACCACTCATCTTTTTCTGCATGTTGATTTTTGATCTCCACATAAGGATAAGGGAACATTGGAATTCATTTTCTCCTTGCTCTGCAAATCTCCAGATCAATCAAAATGTGGGGTTTCATCTCCAGTCTTTCCAAGAGACAAGGAGCAGACCTTTTTAACTCCAGCCTGGAAGTCTCCCAGTAGTGGCCCTGAGCATCCCAGGAAGTGTTTCCCCCTCAGGACACCCTTTCCAGCAGGAATGTCAGCTCTGGCTTTCCTAGAACACCCCAAGCTGAGGCAGAGCAGCCAGCAGTGCCCAGGGCAGGGAGTCTGGTCCTTGGAATGACTCTGGGAAAGCAGCAGGGTGGCACAGCTGGAAGAGGCAGAGCTCTCACAAACCCATCCCAGTGGGCAGAGCTGGCTCAGGTGAGCCTGGGCTCAGCTCCTCCAACTGATTCCTGACATTCCAGGAGAATCCACGTCCTTTCCCACACAGTTAATTCCTGAATGGATCAGTCCCCCCCTGCTCCCTCCCAGATCAACTTCCCTGCTCAAACCTTGCCCTTGGTCATTCCAAAGCCAATTTGCTCCGTCTTCCAACTTTTCCTGCTCTTTTCCAAAGGATCACAATTTAAAAGTTGTACTCCCCTAGATTTGGTGTGACAGCAGGAGCAAGAGGACAGAAGTGTTAATAAAAGCAAGCTCATTAATCATAAATAACCTACTTGGGAGATGCTTTTCCAAGGCAAAATCCATCCTGGGAATGGGAATGCAAGCTGGACTTCCTGGGACAGACCTTAGATGAGCCGCTAGGAACCCAAGTGGTTTCACTTCCATGTTTTCAGGACATTATTTTTTTTTAAAAGCATGAAAATAAACCTTTATTTCAGTTAACACCCACCAATATTAAAGAGAAATGTTCACAGTTTTAGCTCTTGACACAAATGGACTGGAAGAGGTAAATTTACATCTGGCAGAACAGCAGAAGGACCAATTCTAAGTTACAAGCTGTGTTGAAAATCACTCTCTGGGCCATTTGGGAATGGTCTAGAGCAGGGAAAGGGAAAATCCAGCTGGCAAAATCACCTGGAACAGCCAATAGAGTTTGGATCAGGGAAGGTTTGTGCTCCAGGGAAAGCTTTGCTCCACGTTTCTGTTTGCTGTGCTATCCAGGGTGTCCCTTGGGCTGGAAGTGCAGCACATCCCACCAAACAGGAGAGGGAAAGGAACAACTCTGTTCCTACACCAGCCCCACACTGAGAGCAGCCAGGAGAGGTGAAGCAGGAGATTTTCCTACCCTCTGATGGAAAATTGGCCTCCTCCTCCCGCCTGGGGCTGGAAATCCAGGCCAAGGAACTGATCTGTGATACTCACAGTGGGTCACGACACGAGCTCTCGTGGAAAACAGCTCAGGAAAAGCAAAGGCAGCTGCTGACACCACAGCTGAGCAGGCTGGGATTCCATATTCCAAGCTCTCCAACACTTTCTGACTGTCCTGCACAGTTTTTATAAAAATAGGGCGTTACCTTTCTTTTTCTACCTACCTAAGAAACTACAAATACCTTCTAATCTGCCCAAAGAGGAAAACATGAAATAAAATGAGAGATTTGTTCCTATTCTCCTAACAAATGCTGGATAAAACCCCTAAGAAATCCTCTTTCTTAGTCATTCACTCAACTCCTTTTGTGTATTGAAGGGATGGATACATGGGGATGAAACTGAACTTGTGGTGGATTTCCATGTGAGAGAAGGAATTTCTTAAAATCATTCTCTGGAAAAACAATCCTTGGTGCTGTCCCCAGCAGATCCTGAGCCCGAGCTGCATCTGGATGGAGAGGTGAAGTGTTGAGGTTTTGGGCTGAATTTTTGGTGGCTCAGGCACAGATGGTCATTGTCCCAGTCTGAAGCCATGAGCCACAACTTCCTCCTGAGCCAGCCCTGCTCCTTCCTGGGAATGCAGCCTGGGAATGCAGCCTGGGAATGCCTCAGGTACTGCTGTGCCTGTGTGACAATCCTACATCCCAGCTGGAATCCGTGTGGGCTTCCAGAGCCACAGCCGCCACCTTCCTCCCACTCCCAGCTCCAACAATTACCCCAAACTCATGGTTTTGGTACCCCCCAACCCCAGCTCCAACAGCAGGAATTATCCCCAGCTTGGGGTATCCCAGTTCTAAGGACAGGAATTGCCCCAAACTCAGGGTTATCCTCTCAAACAAAAAGCAAAGGTAATTTAAAAACTTTTTTTTTTTTTTTTTTGCCAACAAAGCATCTTGTTCTGTTGAAGGGAAGGAGGAAGGAATAAAAGGGGGAGTGAAAGGTGGGGTACAGGAATTTTAAAAAACCTGGTTTTCAGACCAGTTACCCATTGCTGGATCCATACACAGGTATTGAATCATAAACCAACATGCTTTGAATCTTGATTTCAAGTATCTGCTTTCAATTTTCTAGAAAGATTTTGTGTAAACAAAACTACCCAACAGAGATGAAAAAAAAAAGACTGGTTTTCCATGTTGGAAATGAAGCATTAAAACTTGTTTTAAAGTACTCCAGGAGTTCATTCCATACAGCACTAACAGCCTGCCAAATTAATATTCCACAGATTCCATGGGCTGAGAAAAACCTGCCAAAGAGGAATTAAGGAAACTGAAGTAGTGTGCAATAATTAAAACCTAATTTGGATTTTTGGGGGGGAGGAAGGGGGAGGGGGGAAAAGTCTAAAATCCTGAATTTAAAAAAAATGAACACAAATGAAGGGAAAGCTTTTAACTGGTACACACTGTTCACACCTATATTTCAAGTTTGGAAACGCATATTTTCAAGCAGCAATACAAAAAAGTATCCATGAAGAATGCATAATCTCTGAAAAAATTATGAAAACATCCCTGCTACCATTACATTTCTAAATACAAAACTTGACTACCATATTTGTTGCTTCTGTGTAGCGAGAGAAGTTCATTTTCAAAACAGATAAAATTCAGTCTTTAGGTGTGAATGGTATGAATGACAGTCTCTTTTTTTTTTTTGTTTTGTTTTGTTTTTTTTTTTCAATTTCTTAGTTGTTTTAGGATCCTTAAGCATGCAAGCCTCGGAGAGGAAGGCCCGACCAGGGCAGGGTTGGCTTTATGACATCCAGTTTAGGACAGAGCTGGGAAAGCCTCTGGGTCATCTACGTCAGGAGCAGAAGCACTTGACTGCAAGAGAAACATCACAGAGTTATTGCCTTGAGACACAGCTGGCAGCACTTTGGAAATGGAGAATTACTACAAAAACAACCCTTTTTTTTATTTATTCCAAATATTACAATGCCTCCCATAATTGTTTTTGTTTTTAAACCAAGCTGTCTGGAGAGGAACTGTAGGCAAATTGATGTTTGCACATTGTTATTGCACAATTCGCTTTTTAAAGAGATCTCAGAATGGTCTGGGTTGGATGGGACCTTAAAGAACATGAAATTCCAACCTCCTGCCATGGGCAGATCCTTCCCTGTGGACCAATCCTTACTAAGGGACACAAGTGAAATGTTACAGAAAAGGCCCTGCCTGGAGCACAAATTAAGTTTTTAGTGTTTAATTTTTTCCCACTCAGAAACCAGATGTCAATAAAAGTAATTTTTGTCCCAGAGTTTTAGCCCTAAAAGTTGATGCATTAGCCAAGGTTCTCCTCAGCAGTTACCAACAGAGTTTTCTGAAAGGCTCTGCACCACATCTAAAAACCAGTGCAGAAATTAAGAATTTCATACTCCTCCCTTGGTCCTTGGAGAAGAATGGGAAGAGCCAAGATAATGGAACTTCCTGCTGTGATATTAATTTATCAAGAAACAGATTCAAAATGAGAGTTGCATCAACACCTGTAGCTGCAGAGTCTCTGTCTTGCCTAAGACTCCACGGACCACAAACCAGAATTCAAAGGTAACAGCAGGGTTTCAGCTACAGGCTCAGCACCTCCAGGTGCTCAGCACACAAGAGCAGAAACAGCCAAGAAAAGGAGGCAAGTTTTGATCCCTGATCCCAGGGAATGCACATGCAGAGCTCACCCACCTGGTTGGGCGTGTGGATCACATCAAACTCCTTGACCAACTGCAAGGAAACAAAGGCAACAACACAAAATCAGCTGCAGGAAAGCTTGGAATTACTTTATGACAGCATTCTTGAGGAGTATTAGTGAAACAAGTCAGAGCAAACCAGCACTGTTTAATTTCAATTCCTTAAAATACCCTGATATTGTTGTCAGGAGAGAGCTTCCCAACTAATAAACGAGAATTTGTCAAGTCTGTGTCTGCTGGAAGGGACAAAAATGAGCAAATCTGTGTGAAGGAAACCACAGGACACAGACTGAGCTCATTTTCCAATCAGTAACAATTTGATTGATGCCTTTAAGGCAAATAAGTGATTCACAGTAAATCAAATCTTCACTGTAGCTACACTACAGTGCTTGAACCTCACAAATTTTCTCCCAAACCCCATTCAGTATTTTTCCAGGGTATTCCCCTTATCACTAAAGAAGGGAAAAACATGACTAGACATTAGAAAAAAACCAGAAAGAGCCCTGTTTCCAACTGGAAAATGTGAATTTCTCAGGTTCAGGATCTGACATGCAGCTGGTACAACCAGTCCCTCACCCCCAGCAGGTCACAGTGCACACACAGTGTCCTGGCTGGGGCTGGGAATAACCAGCCCAGCACTTGTGGTTCTGCTCTGGCCCAAACTGAGGCAGCTCATGGTACATTCACATCTGTCCACACTGGAAATTCATTTTTCAGGTTTAGACACAAAGACAGGCACTTTTTTAAAAAATCCACCCTCCCTTTTTAGTGTTTGATGACAACACTGCTCAAACATCCATACCTTTGTCCTAATGGGCTGCTTTAAAGCAAGCTTTGCCCAAAAAGATTTTCACTTGTGTTTAAAACACCCTGTTTGTTGTCAGAGAATCTCCCCCAGGAAAAAAAAAACAGGAAGATCCCAGCAGGAAATGAGTTTCCCTGGGGATGAGAGCTCACCTTGTCAGTTCTGCCTCCACGGCTGGCTCTGCCCCCACGCCCTCGGCCCCCCCGGCCCCCTCTGCCGCCGCGGCCGGGGCGGCCCAGGTCTCCAAAGTTGATCTCCAGCTGGGATGTGATGTCGTTGGCGGGCTTGCGGAAGTGGTGATCCATTACTGAGTCCTCAGCATGAGCCTGCAAGGAGGATTTCTCCATCAGCAAGGAAACAGCACCAAAATCCTCCCAGGAAACACCACCAAAATCCTCCAAGGAAACACCACCAAAATCCTCCAAGGAAACACCACCAAAATCCTCCATGGAAACAGCACCAAAATCCTCCCAGGAAACACCACCAAAATCCTCCCAGGAAACACCACCAAAATCCTCCAAGGAAACACCATCAAAATCCTCCAAGGAAACACCACCAAAATCCTCCATGGAAACAACCACCACCAAAATCCTCCAAGGAATCAGCAACAAAATCCTCCAAGGAAACAGCACCAAAATCCTCCATGGAAACACCACCAAAATCCTTCATGGAAACACCACCAAAATCCTCCAAGGAAACAACCACCACCAAAATCCTCCATGGAAACACCACCAAAATCCTCCAGGGAAACAAACACCACCAAAATCCTCCAAGGAAACAAACACCACCAAAATCCTCCAAGGAAACACCACCAAAATCCTCCAAGGAAACACCACCAAAATCCTCTTCAGTGCACCTGAGCTCTGGCCACTGCAGCTCACCTCCCATCACACAACTTCACCCGCTCCCTGGAGGGACTGGGGAACTTGGAATTTCTCAGCAACCCAGGTATTTTGCCCTTCCAGGATAATTCATGAGTTCACACAATCACTGATGTTGGAAAAGCCCTCCAGGACTGAGTTCAACCTGCACCCAAATCCCCACCTTGTCACCAGTCCTTCCCTGGACACCCCCAGGGATGGACACTCCAAACCTCCCTGGACAGCTCCTTCCAATGCCTGACCACCTTTTCCATGGAGAAATCCTTCCCAAAATTCCATCAGTGTGTTCTTATCCCAGGCCAGACTGACATTACCAAGCCAATACAGAATGTCATGTTGCAGCAATTCTCATTTTTGTGTCCCTCTTCCATCAATTCCATTCTTTTTCCACTCTTGATCACTCATCCTTATTTTGCTCCCTGAGGATTTACACTTTATTTACTTCAGCCCTTGATAAATCCTTAAGACCAGGGATCTGCTGAGAGACAATCCCTCAGTGCTCTGCGTTCACTAACAGCAAATGAGACACAAAAAACTCAAACACAACTGAAGGAGCTGAAATGGATCACCAGTGACACTGGAAAATGGGGATTTCAGCACCTTTGCCATGATATTCTCTTACTGGTTTGCTCCCAGTGCATTTGTTGGAAACCTGAGCCTGGAGGAGGAGCAAGGGATGCTCCCAGGAGTTACAAACACCAACAATGTTATTATTCAGCACTTTGGAAAATTTCAGTTACACACTGAACCCCACCGGGTGCTTTTAAAGCAATTATTTCTCTTATTTTACACAAGTATTTTTTCCATGATCAAGCTTCTAGGATAATATAAAATATGTAAAAACCTGCCCACTACAGCTCAACCATGTTTTGGAAACAACATCCAAGACTTTCCTTCCCTCCAAGCCCCCAACTCCTGGCACAGCAATTTCCTGGTTTTCCTACACAAATGCCACGTGCAGGCTCAAGCTTCCCAACTCCAACTGACTTTTCTGCTGTAGTTACACAACATTTGGACTTTCAAAGGCAACACATTGTGCAATTAAGCCCTGTACTCTTTAATTACCATTTGTGGAGCCCTCAAAAGGCTGCCAGGGGATGGAGAGGTCTGGAGTCAAAGCTGCTGTCAGGGATTCCATGGGTCCTCCCCAAAATCCCATCTGTCCCTGCCATTCCCCCTTGTCCTGTCCCTCCAATTTAATTAAAAATACCCTTTCCATGCTGCTTGATTTCCAGCACATTCCACTGGGATGTATCCCACAGAACAGCTGATCCCTACTCCACTGATTTTATCCATTTCATTGTACACCTTCCCCTTGGAAGTCTCTTTTGCCAAACTTGGGAAGTTTGTCTCAACAAAGAAAAGCCAATCCACGCCTCAGCCTGACATGGCACTACTCAAACCTAACACCAACACTCTGTAAAACACTACAAAACTCCTTAGAGATGTTTTAAATTCTTTTCTGACCATTTCATTTTTTATCTACAGTTTTTATCACTGAAAGGGACTGAGATTCTATTTCCAACTACTGGTAACCATGTGGTAATTCCCTTTTCTGAGTGGTGGGATCAGTGGATTTCTACAATATTTCTGTGCATTTCTATCCCTATGCTTTTTTTATTTAAAAACAAATTGCTACAGTTTACCAAAAATCATTTGTATTTCCACAACTTGACTTTGGTATAACCACTGAACCAACAAATTGCAAATGCCCTGTGTAATCTGGTAATTTCTCTATCCAAAATAATGAAAGCTCTTTCAAAAAATTCCAACAAAAGACCTGGCACATTCTCCTCAGCCTCTTCCATCACTTGGGTGATAAATCAGACACACTGAACAAGTTGATTATCCTGAGTAATCCTGGGAAACATTAAATTTCTCTGTATCAATAGCACTCTGATTTAATAACTGATCACTTCTTGAAGGCAGTGCTGTGCTTAAGGGTCTTGGGGAAGGCTGTCAAAAATTAAAATCAAGCTACCAAGAGAGCCAAAGCAGACAGTGAGAGATTGAAGAACAGCAGCAATAAAAAATACAGAGACTCACGGTAGAAGCTTTTATGATAAGGTTTGAAATCAGCAGGATGAGGAGCAAGAGGACTCTAAAACCATGCTGGGTGCTGGATGGTGCACAGTGAGACAAGAGGCACGGACAGAAAAGCTCTGTGTTCAATAAAATTCTCTATTTTGGTGAGTTTTTAGCAGCCAAACGTTCCCTGCTGAAGGGGCTGATGTTAAAACCCAGGTATCAGAGAGAAAGCAGCAGTACCTCATTTGAATCCAGCAGACTCCCCTGCATTTCTGTCATCGCCTTTGTCTGGTGACAGTTGTGTGTCCACGCCAAAGTGACAAAAGGAACAAAGGGAGAAAACAAAAGGAAGAAATGAGACTCAACTCGGTACAGGAACACCAGGTAATCAGGTCACACGAGCTGCTGGGGACAGATGGCACCGAGCACACGGAGCACAGGGACGAGGAGCAGCCGTGCAAGCAGCCAGAGACAGCACAGGATGGACGGGGCAAGGGTGGAGACAAGAGAAAGCTCAGATGGACACCAAAAGCAGCTCAGATGGACACCAAAAAAAGCTCAGGTGGACACCAAAAAAAGCTCAGGTGGACACCAAAAAAAGCTCAGGTGGACACCAAAAAAAGCTCAGGTGGACACCAAAAAAAGCTCAGATGGACACCAGAAAAAGCTCAGATGGACACCAAAAAAGGTTCAGATGGACACCAAAAGAAGCTCAGAGGGACACCAGAAAAAGCTCAGAGGGACACCAGAAAAAGCTCAGAGGGACACCAGAAAAAGCTCAGAGGGACACCAGAAAAAGCTCAGGTGGATGGATGGACACCAAAAAGGCTCAGATGGACACCAAAAAAAAAAGCTCAGATGGATGGACACCAAAAAGGCTCAGATGGACACCAAAAAGGCTCAGATGGACACCAAAAAGGCTCAGCTGGATGGATGGACACCAAAAGGTTGCCCAGGAGATGTGGAAGCCCTGGCAGACCACACATGCAGGCTGGTTTCCAGCGTGGCCACACGTCAGGCACAAGAGCTGGGATGTTTGAATCACTGCTCATGGAAATCTTCCTGCAGAGCCTTCACTCAAGAGTCTTTCCTCCCAACTCGAGGAGATGAACTGTTCTTTTCCAAAATACATTTCCTAATGTCCCACTGCGACCTCCTCTAAGGAAGGGATTGGATTAGTGAGGAGGTTTGGAGAGGCACAGCAGGGACAGAGATCTCCTGGGTATCAGTTTTTCCAGGACTCCTGGATTCTGCTTTTGGGATAAATTTTAGGATCTGTATAACTTGTTCCTGTTTTTTGCAGGAACTGAAGGCTCAAGCCACCAAACCAGCTGCAGAGGAGAAGAGGATCTGTGGTTTATGGCAGAACCCCGTGCCCTGGGAAGAGGCTCACTGGACCAGGGCTGCTGATGCTCCTGGATTTCAGATAAAAGCAGCAAGAATCTGAGACAGAACTGGGAATTTTACCAGCACCTGCAGAGTAAATGGGAAAAAGAGGAAAGACCTCAGGCAGGCCAAGCATTTCAGCCCTCAGAGGGGAGAACAAGCAGGAGGAAAAGGAGGACAGCTCTTTCCCAAGACTGAGGCAGATGAGCAGCATCAGATTCCTCATTCTCCCTTTTCCCAGACTCCTGGGGGGAGTTTTCCAAGGAGTTCTCAAGCTACAGCAATGCAGGTGTTCACCAAAATGCTTTGAATTTCTGAGCCATCTATTGGGGCACACAGTGTTTCTCAGCCATAAGAGTACAGAAGATTTGGGGCTGAAAACCAAAATTTACCTAGAAACCAAATCACATCCACACATCATCTCCCTTCTTACCAATGAGAATCAGAGAAACCTTAATTTCTTGACTCCTAAGTACAGCCAAGAGGACAAAGAGAGGAAACAGCAGGTGATTGGGGGTTTTTTAAAATATTTTGCCTTCTAAAGCTGCTCACAAAGGAGCTGCAGTGGAAGCTTTCCTAACGCCTGTATTATAGAGCTATTCTCCTATAATCCTGAGAGAAAATCCCCACACTGCTTCCCATGGGATCAGAGAACAATGAAGAAGGGAGATGGGGAGACACATCTGCTGGATGTACAATAAAGCAGGCTAAAAGCAGCTCAATTTAAAGGCAGATTTGTTAATACCTCACTTTCATGCTTACACAGCAAGAGGCTGTTACCTTCTTATGTGATGGGGCTAAAAATATCCAACTTGTTTATTTGAGAAGTTCACCTCTTAAATAGAACAATCTACTAATTATGTCAGGTCTTCCATGGGAGTAATTTGATTATTCACAGGTTTTGTTCAGATTCTTTTATTTCTCATTGTTTTTTGCTTGGTTTTCCTTTTTTTTTTTTTTTTTTGAGTTCACTGATTCAGTTTTCCAATGGAAAATACAAGCTGGATCTTTCTAGCCTCTAAATTTCTCACAAGTAGCATCACCTTTACCATCACATATGCTCATATGTTAAAAAAAAAGTGTCCTCAGATGAGTAAATGTCAAATAAATCTGATTCAGAGACACAGAGGGAATTTGAAGAACTACAGGTTTAGTAAATCTTGGTGAAGTACATAAATACTTCTGTTTAATACATTCTTTCAGTAAATAGCAACATTAAATGGAACTCAAATTCCCTTTTCTGCCCAAGCCAGAGAAAGGATTTCAGATTAAATGAAATAAAGGATTTCAGCATTTAACAAACACTTCAGTGAACAGCTCGGAGGAGACACAGCCATGCAGTCCTTTCAAGAATTGAACTACCCCACACAGCAAGAAAACAGCCTGATTTGTGACCAAGTCAAACTCTGAGTTCAATCAGAACAGAAATGGAACTTTCACTGGAGCACTGAGCAGTGCCCCCCACCTGCTTTTATATCCCAGCTCCCAGGATAGAAACTGGCAAGGTGTGAAAAAGCAGGAATACATTTTAGGAGAGCAAACAGAGTATTACACACTACCCAGCCACTTCAAAGGACTCAGCACCATCAGTACACAAAGTTGAAGCCACCAATCTCTTAAGTAAGCTACTTAACATATTACAGAGTGTTAAAAACAAAGATTAAAACTAAAGATTAGCACAGCCCTGCATTACAAAACAAGAGCTCTCAGCACTTCCCTCCCTTGTGCATCTCCCCTTGCCACTCTTGGAACAGAATAATAAGCATTATGTAATGCCTGAAATGAGAAACTACAAATTTAAAACAATTCTACAGCAGCTATGCTGAGTGCCACTGGAGCACAAAACCCTTTTCAAGAGCTTTCCCAAGAGCTTGTCTGTGTCACAGCACTCAGTGAGGAGACACCCACGTCTCCAATTTAAGATGCACGGTTTGGGTTGAAGGTCTCTGAGGCATGACCAGTCTTCCTTCAAGCTGACATCACTTAACAAGCACCATGAATCTGTGTACTGCACAACAGATGCTAAATAACACAAGAGTTGCCTTTTTTAGAAAGCAAACTTGACAACATTCCCCCAAAAACTCTCACCAAGAGGCAGCTCTGACAAACCTAAGGGCACAGCTCAGCTCCTAAACCCAACCACAGTCAGAATGGCCACTTGTGTTACTGCAGAAGTTCAGTTCTGCTAAAAGAACATTGTTCAAATAAACAAGAATTAAGTTCAAACTGAAAAAAAATGCTGTTCCCACTTTCTAAACTTCCAGCTACAGGTCAGCATCTCCCAGACTGGGGCTGACACTCTAAAAAAACGCTCATCAATAACAAAACCTTCACAAAGTGGACACTCCAAGTATGGAAAGGCACTTTTACCTCCTCACTCTTTGACTTGTGGAGCACAAATCCTTTTTTCCATTGCCCATCAGCTCCCTCGTTTGGTTTGCGGATGTTGAACTCGACTTTTGCACGATCCTTGCTCTGAATGGCTTTCCACTCATCCAGGGTCATTTCCTTAGGGCCTTCTTCCTTAACTTCTTCAACCTCATTCTCTCTGTAGTGAATTCAGGGAGATTATGATCACAACTGAGGATTTACACTCTGGATGCAATTTCAAAATCATTTGCTGGCTGCTACCAGGTTATAAATTGAACTTCGTCAAGGATTTGGCAGTTAAGAGGTGAAAACATAAACACTCAAAGGAGTGTTAAACACTCTCCTTTAGAAGGAGTGCCAAACAAAATTACACCCAGCCACCTCTGAGCACAGCAAAATGTGAAAATTAAAACTGACCCATGTCATCAAATCTCCATATTACTGTCAATTTTATTTCCAAAACTGAAAGCTTAACTTCTGTCGTGACTCGTTCGGAGCTCCTTCCCCTTATTTTGAAATACATCTCTCATAAACATTCAAATCAAGGCAGTGAGAACTTGTTCTTCCCACATTTTTCGAGCTTTTTGGTATTTTAAAAACCAGAATTTAAGCAGCTTGGGATAATTTGCTTCCTTTGTCGAACCAAAGACAATTATTCAAACAACTTTTACTTCCAGCTAATTTGAAAAAATAACACACCTTATTTGTGAGATACAGCAGCTCTACCTCGTGCCAAAGGCTATTTTTAAGTAAAACAGCCCCTGTGCTCAATAACAGGATCATATTCCAGCTACTGGAAGCCTCTGGTCATTGTTCAGTGTGTTTATCCAACTGAATTTCTGATTTATAGGAAACCAATGCTGTGTATGTGCAGCAAGGAGATCATGAAAGCCTCGATTTCAAAGGTTTTCATCTGGCAGCCACTAATTTTGAACGATAATGCAAAGGTTTTATGTCAAAATTGCTGTATTTCAGCTTTTTCTCACTGTATAGGAGAGAATGATTTTTGACATGGGATGTAATCAGAATTTGTTTTGTTCAAGGCAAAGATTTTCCTTGTAAAAAGTAAAGAGTAAAACATCCTCTGCTGAAACACTGAGGGTAAAGATCCACATAAAACCAGACAATTAAAAAGTTACATACGTAGAGATGCTTTTCTATATAAAGTTTGTAGTGAGGCAATCAAGCCATAGCAAACACCACATTAGGAATCACTAGGAACAAGTATTTCAAAATTCTGTTTGGTAATTTTTTTGAGTCCTTTACAAAGCCCACTCCTCATTAAAATACAACATTAGTCACACTAGGCTACCATAAAAATTTGTATTGTATTTTTACATCAACTCAGTATCACTAAGGCTGCTTCTGCTTCTCTGGTTACTCTTTCATTCATCTCCAGTCCCTGGTTGCTTCTGTAACAGTGTCCAAGTGAGATGGGAAGAGATCCCAGGTAACTTTGAAAACTGCCTGGAGAATGAGGGATACAACCTTTCTCCTACAGCTCACAGTCACTTCCCTCTCCAAGGCTGTTTTCCAAAATGAAGTTTAAAAAATTGCCTCCCACTGGCATTTTTATCCCATTTACTTGGGTGTTTCTATCTAGTCTGAAGCACAGATGCTTTTGGGTTTGGAATTTGGAGCTGCAATCCCAAGACCAGAAGTGTATTAGAAATTATTATCTGTAAATAAATCTGAAAGAGCCTACAGGACACCAAGGAATGGTTTAAAGACAACGATTTCCAGATGTGAGGTTTTTAAGGAGACTCATTCAGCAGCACTGTGGATGATCTACTGATAACCTGAGTTTGGCCACACAGATGTGGGAATGAACAGCAGAGGTTAAAGGTAATGCAACAGCACCTCTGAAGCAAGCCAGGAGCACGGAGAGGGGTGGTACTCACTTATTTTCAGAATCAGCAGGCGGATGCTCCTCTCCCTCTGGCGTTTCCTCAGTTACAGCTGACTGATCCAATTCACTGCAATTACATAATGTTGGGAGTTGGGGCTTTTTTACAACTTCATCCCTCCTTAAAGATCCTTGTAAGATTAACAGTCAAGGTCTACGGTGGATTTACTGTTTCAATGAGGACTGGTGCTCTCTGTGCCTTTTAAATTCTCAGCTTTTCACTTAACTAATGGTTTTCCCCAATGCTTCTCACTACCCCTCCTGAAAGGCTCCCACTGTCCCTTGAAACACAAAATGGATTTGGACATTAAAAATAGATTCCAATGGGACGGCTGAGTTTTTGTAATACAAAATGCATCCTTATCCTGATCAAAATTTACTAGAAACAGAACAAAGAATTTTTACAAAACCAGCACAAGACCTCCCAAACTTCCCCAAAATTCTGCTTGAACAGTGAAGCCAATCTTGTATTACAAGAAATCGCTGGGGTTTTAGAACCCTGCAGAAGCGTGGCAAAAATCATGGAGATCAAAGGCAAAAAGGCAGCTAAATCTGGCTGTTCTGCAAGCCATAATTAGGGCTGATTAACACAGTGCTAATAATTTTGTGAGCAATGACAGGTTACTAACGTTAGCTCGTCTTTGACGGTTCCCCAGTTGTGTGATCCGCTGCCACCGCGCTTGTCCTCGTGCTTTAGGCCGCTGAAATGTGAATGTGAAACAGAACTAACAAAACTGAGTTAACATTATAGTGTCCAGACACAGAAATTCAACAGATCAATTTTAAATGGGAGGGGTCAGGGTGGCAGAGAAAAGGGGCAGGGAAAGGTGAAGACTCACGATCTATCGCTGCCGCTGTGTCTGTCAAATTCCCGTTTGCCACGAGAGTCAAAGCCATCCCCTCGGCCCATCCCGCGCCCGCGGCCACGGCCCCGGCCCAGGCCTCCACGTCCACGCATGGGTCGCTCCAGGATGGGTCTGCCATGCAACAGCCACAGGTCAAGGATTCACTCCAAAAATGGACAGCATTTCATTGTCTTGTCCTCTCTGAGGATTTTATTTATTTGGTTTTGCTTTGGTAATTACTGTTTGTGAGATGGGTCAAGCGATTCGCCTCCAAAAATGCACAGAGGGTTTTGTGGTTCTTTTCCCCTCTGAGAACTCTTTTTGTTTTTCCTTTGTAGCTGGGTTGAGGCTCTGATTTAAAAGAAGTCACTCCCCTACTCCTGGAAGTGTCCCAGACCAGGTTGGAAGGGCTTGGAGTAACCTGGGATCACGGCAGGTGTCCCTGTCCGTGGTATGGGATGGACCCAGACCACCTTCAAGCTCCCTTCCAACCCAAACCATTCTGTGAGTTCCATGATTTTAGGATCCAGAAACAAATGCTCAGGATTGTTGTTTGTTTACATCTTCTGCCATTCATTCCAAAATCTGGAATGTAGTTGATGCTCCAACTTCAACTAAACTCTCTTTTATCCAACTTACTTTTATAGGGATTTTAACTTTAGCAACTAAAACTTCAATATTTTACTGTTACTTGAATTCTGGCTGCCTCATAATACCCAAGACAATTTAAATTTCATGTAGATCTAAGATGGCTTCACCACTTCCAGTTCTGAAGCCACTGCAGCCAGGGTGTAAACACCTACTGGACAAACTTTAGCTGGCTTTAATTCAGCTGTGCAGATTAAAGCTACAGCTGTAACAGCAAACAAATCTCATCCTGCAGGAAACAGCTATGCTTGGGTTCCCTTCCTGAGCTATAGATGCACAGAAATATGGTGAGTATCTTAATTTGAACCATAATTCAGTTTTACCTGGGAACCTGGTCATGTAGATCATTCCCAAGCTAAAACTTAAAAGTTTGCAAACAAAACCATGGAAAAGGGAAGTGTTATGGTCTCCATGAGAGGAATTTAATCTTGATTCAATCAGCTTTTTTTTGCCTGAGCAGCAGAAGGCAGGACAGCCCTGTCCTGTCCAAGTTAGGAAAGCTGTTTATCATCAAGACAAAACTCTTACTTATCCACAGAGAACTCTCCTCCCTCGCCCTTCTCCTCGGCGGGTTTCTCGAAGCGGCGCTCGCGGGGAGGTCGTCGCTCGGGTCTCCTGTCGATGGGTTTGCCTTCGCCCTGCTGCTGCTGCTGCTGCTGCTGCTGATCAGGCCTCCTGCCAATCCTCCTTATCCCTGAAACATCAGGCAGGCACATCAACGGAATGTGGAGTGCTCCGGGACAGATACCGACCCCCCCAGGCAAACAAGAGGGAAGAGAAGTTTTATTTCTGCGGAAACTGAGCAGCTCCACTTTCACCCGACTCTTCTCAGTCACATTTTTACCAAGGATTTCAAATTGTGTTTGACTGAAAACTTAATCCCTGCTGAAATGACAGGGGCAGTTTCCAAAGATCAAGGTAAGCAAGATTTTATTACTATTTTTTTTTCTCTGAAAGGTGCTTTTCAGGTAAAACAAGTGAGTTTTATTTGAAGAACACCCAAAAGAAGTGAGCATCACCTCACTGGCCCTAATCCTGTGCTCCTGAGACAGTGCTGTTCCAACAGACTCCATGATCCTGGAGGTGTTTTCCAACCTAAATGATCCCGTGATTCTGTTCTTGGAAACACTTCTGGGGTCCTCACCTTCAGGGATCCTCCCAGCCCAACATTCTCTGACAAAGATTCTCCTTCTGGTGCACTTCTCAAAACAGCTTAAGGATCCGCGGTGGCACCGAGCTGCCCAGCGTTCTTCCTCCCTGCCTAGGCCTCCTAAAAGGGTTTTTATTGCAAATAAAAACCTCCCATGGACATTCCCTTCTTTACCAAGCCCTCTCAAAGATCTAACACAGTCTTCTTTTCCACTCATGTGAAAGGCCTTGTTTATTACTCTTCTTTAGAAGATGAGGACACATTGCTGTTTTCTTGTACCACTTTCTTGCCAAAACTTAACTTGGCCTCAAAACTATCGAACCAGCTTTTAAATTCAAAGCTGATTTTTAATTATTTTTTTTTTAAAGAACCAAGTTCCTGCCTAGCAAGCAATGTCAAATTTGGGTGGGGCTACAGAAGTTGCAGTTGTAATGATATCCAAGCCAACACACCCAGATGAACAATGTCTCCCTCACCTTTCCAAGCTGTATTTAACATGAAGTTTGCATGGCACACATAGCTCCCTAAGCATTCCCGACTTCCCGAGGAAACAAGGGGTTAAACTCAGCACTTGGAGCAGGGCTCTCCAATGAGGACAGGCATTCCATGTGAGGAGGAGAAGCAGGGAGAGGAGCAGGCATGCTGCAGAACTGGAATGGAACAGCCATTCAAGTTTGAATTTCGAGTTCAACACCCTGCACTCAGAAAAACCAAGCTTTGAACTGCTAATTCAGCAGGCAAATCACTTGCAGCCTTATGGAGTAGTGGAAGAGCTTAAAACACATTCACACAGGAAACAAACCCTGGCATCGAGCACCTTTCTGATGCCAGAACTGCAAAAACAGCCACACACAAAAATAGACATTTTCAAAGTGGAAACTGGCTTTGTTTACACTGCTACAACAGCAGCCCCGACTTTCTCTCTTTCACTACCATAACAAACCACCAAAATATTTATTTTTCACACTGCTCTTGACATCAAGATGTGAAACTCGGCAGGTGAAGAGAGGCTGCCAGCCCTGCCCAAACCTCTCCTGCGGTGCCAAAGACACGGCCAGGTCCCAGGCGCATCTCGTGGGGGACAGCACCGGGACCCCGAACCTCACTAAGGCTCCCAGAGGACACTGGATTAGGGAATTGGGACCCCGGACAAGCCACTCACTGCATCCCTCCCACAGAAAACACTCCTAAGCATTAATGAGCGAGAGACCCACAAGCAAAGAATATTTCTAACATAGCTCCTAAATTTGTCTCCTCACAAGGTGCTTTCGAGTAACATTTTTAGCACCCACTTTCGAAAACAATACATTAAAACTATTTCTTTCTTTAAGAGCATCAAACAGCGGAGAACCAGCATCACTTTGGAACACAAATGCGGAAGCACAAAGATGCTCTCACGTAGCACCGTGCTCTGTGAAAAGCTTGTTGAAATCGCAGTAAACCTGTTATTCCCTTGCTCCCACATCACCTGCTGTCAGCACACTCTGATGTTTTTCGAGGATTCCTCTGAACCCGAGTTGTGACCCACCTGCCGAGCGCTGAAGTTTGGGCGCGGTGGAGCTGCCTGCACGGGACGCCATGTGCCCACATCCCTCCCTACCCATGTGGGGACCTGGCCTCCTAATTCCCAAAGCGTATTCTTCGGTCTGTTTACACTTCCGTGTCTTTTTTCCAAAGTTTTTTTCGTGTAGGATATCTTCGAAATTTACAGAAGCTACGAATTAGTGCAAGTTGTTATTTCAATATATATGAAAACAAGAAAATTGCTATCAACGCTGTTCCCCTAGAAAATGACCCAAACAGATTTTGGAAAGCCCGGGAACTTCCAGATATCCTGACAAATCCATCGGACCACCTGAAACACGAGTCAAGTTCAGGCTACAAGGCTGGACGGGGCTTGGAGCACACCCTGCTCTAGCGGAAGGTGTCCCGGCCCATGGCAGGGGGTGAACGAGAAAGGCCTTTCCAACCCGAACCATTCCAGGACTCCACGTGCCGGTTTAGATGGGATATTGGGAAGAAAACGTTCCCTGTGAGGGTGAAGAGGCCCTGACACAGGTGCTCAGAGAAGCTGTGGCTGCCCCTGGATGCCTGGAAGTGTCCAAGGCCAGGCTGGGCAGGGCTTGGAGCAGCCTGGGACTGTGGAAGGTGCCCTGTGGCAGGGGACGGAACGAGATGGCCTTTAAGATCCCTTCCAACAGGAGCCACTCCACGATTCTCCTCATTGCTGGGATTCCCCATTCCGCCTTACCCCTCTCCCTTCCGCCGGCACCGAGGCAGCT